AATCAGAATTTTAAGCTTCTTGGGTTAACTCTAAACCACTCAGATGGCCATAGCAACTTTCTTATTGGGTTAAATTGATTTGATAAAATAATATAAAATCTCTTTCTCGGTAGTGTGGGTGTGTGTGGGGGGTAGTATTTTGTTTGATTGCTTATCTATATTCCCAGTTTCAGTCAAAACTATTTTGACATTTTACATAATCATAATCCTCATGACAAATAGTTTACTGAGCTTTGCTTCAAGTGTCTCTTTCTACAAGGAGCCACTGTTGGATATCCAATGAATTGGAAACGCCATAACTAGCTACAGTTCACTAGTAAGACCTTTACTATGAGCAAACAAGTCAGTGCTTGGATCAAAGCCAAGGGAATAATGGTTGTACAATTTCCTACAGCCAGCACGGAGGTCTTATTCCATTTCCCACAACTCTTATCTTACTATTTAAATTAGCAACTTGAAATATAGATACTGGATTTAACTTGTGCCATCTTGGCATCTTGGTGGTTGATGGGGAAAACTGAAGACTTCCGAAAACTCTTAGAGGTGAAATTCATTTCGCTTCCTCCTACTTCTAGGTGATAGGTGCCTAAATTACTGGAAGCAGATGGGGCAGCGACTTAGACAATGTTACCAGTCCTATCTGACCTGACCATGAACTTGAGAGCTCCATGTGACCCTTCCCCTAACCATGACCCCATTTAGGCATCTGTATCTCTGCCAGCCTGTGCCGCGCACGCCTTGCGCTTCCTGCCTCTCCTCCAGTCACGATGGAATCCCTCTTCAACTCTCCGTTAGAATTGATCTGGTTTGTTGCAATTGCTTTCTGCCCTTTCTTTACTACTCTTAGGGCTATACTGGAACAGTATGAAGTGTGGTAAAAGCTATTTTTTTTTAATCTGAGAGGAGTGTGTCACATGTATCCACTCACATTCTCTGGCTTTCTAGTAAAGGCTCCTGATTCAGCCTCTCAAAATGCGGCTTCTCTTTATCTCATAACTGAATTCCCATACAACACTCTCTATTCAGTCATTACTGAGTCAGAAAAACACCAAGTACCACACAGTTTAACAGGAGTTGAATGAAAATATAAGAGGATTACAGTGAGGTAACAGGTAGTAAATGCGGAGATGGTTCTCCCCCACAGAAGTGGAGGAACAAAGAATTCAGACTTGTTTTCCTTATTATCTTTGATTCCAACAAATGCTTTCAACAAACTGACACTCTCTACTTTTTTCTACTTTATAAAACAAATGACTTCGAAATATTGGTTTATAAAATGACAACTTCTTATTGAGTATGTAAGAACCTGAAAGATGTAGGGAAGGGAACCAAGAAACCATCATAAGAACTTACCTGGGTCTATTCCATTCTTTTTCACTTCCTTGCTGCTGCTAGAGTGCAGAGCTGTATATGAAAATGCAAATGAGTTGCAAACAACAAGGAAAGCTAAGGTTGCTTTCTCTTGCCTTTCAACACATTATAATACTTAAAAAAAAGATCCTGAAAGGAAACAGGACAGAAACAAGCAAATTTATTTTATTTTTGTTGCACTTAAGGACTTAAGCCTAACATCTAAGAAGTGAACACAGAAGGATGTAAAAGAGAATAGTCCAATGATTAGAACACTCTTCCCCTTTCCCACCCCATTTGTTAGATGGAGAAATCTAGTTTGGTTTAACTGGAGATAAGGAAAAACGCAAAACTTATTAGTTGCATAGTAAATGCTTTGTGTCAGTGACTGAAAGAAGAGTAAACCATATTTCATGACTGTACCATGATTGTGTAAGAATTAGATATAAGGTTGTTGAACTCACTAGTATATATTTTAAGTAAAAAGTTGGGGAAGAAGAGGAGAATTTGGAGACATGAAAATATGTTCAAGAGTAATTTATGTACAATCATTTACTAAAACCCACTATTTTGATCTTGATTTACTCCAAATAATATGCAACTGTTTAGCATAATAAACATGATTTGAGGACTAAAAAAACATTGTCTTTTCATTTTTGAATCATACAGTCTGAATAAATGGGTGTAATGCAAACAGCAAATGCAAACATCAGTGCAAGCTTTCATGCATTAGCAATATATAAATGCTTAAGTCAAAGATGTGGGAAGATTGGTTAATGTAAAAGTTTGTAAAGTTAAGAAACACTGGTCAACTGAGTACTACCCTTCTAGGTAGAAAATAAAGAGTTGGGAAGAACATTGGATGATAGGATATATGATTTAATTTTGGAGAAATCAGATATGATGTTAGAAATTTTGCTCAAAACCAGATTATGAAGATACATGGTTTGCTGGATGATTTTGTGTATAAATATGAAGTCCCACATTCAAAGGCAAATGAAGATAATTGATCCAAAAATATCAGTTAGAAATCTCTTAGAGTTGATATGCAGCCAGCACAGTCAAAATGATTCTCTCTTCTGAGGTTTATGGTTATCTATGCTCCTTGATTTAATCACAAAGCTTTCAAAGTAGAAAAGTACCATTTATTTACAAGTATATGCTACATCATTTCACTAGGTCACTATGTATACATTTCCTCCTCCGCCCACCCACTTTTTCTGTTTGGTATGGAGCTTGAACTCAAAGCCTGGGTGTTGTCTCTGAGCTCTTTTACTTAAGGCTAGTTTTCTACCACAACGCCACAGGGCCACAGAGCCATTTCTGGTTTTCTGATAGTTAATTGGAGATGAATCTCATGGACTTTCCTGCCCTCGCTGGTACCTGTCAGATCTCACCCTCCTAAATAACTATGATTACAGGTATAAGCCACCAGTGCCTGCCTGATATATACTGTTCCATAATAGAAATTGTAAAAAAAAAAAGTCAAAACATATATGTATGATGAGCAAACTAATAATGAACTACATTACCTTCCCACTGCCACACAAACTTTTTCCAACACAAGGGACAAAAGCTATTTGTCAAATACTAGTATTTCATTTATGGACATGTTTCCCATGGCTACTTCCAAAAATATTCACATCAGTAAGAAGCTCTTACCTACATATCTAACAGATATATAGTATATCTATTAGAATGATTAAAGTACAAAACAACAAAATCACCAAATTCTGATAAATATATGGAACAATAAGACATCTATTTAATTGTTGGACAGATCCAAATATACAGAGGTGTGCTGGAGAACAGACATTTTTGTTTGTTTGTTTGTTTGCTGTTGTTATTTTTAAAAGTAAACCTATTACCACAAGTCCCAGTGAACATTCTCAATGAAATTTACTTGTTAGTTGAAAACTTACACCAATTTTATACAGTTGTCTTATTTTGTTTCCGTTAGAAAAAAATGTATCTGCAGTTGAATTAACACTGTTCATTTATACAATAGCATAATATTTAAAAAAAATGAACTAACAAAGTATGAAAAAAATGCTGAAATTTGTATATATACTGTTAAATAAAACAAATCACTCAGTAAAATCTACTAAGTATCTACCAAGTATCATTACACATTCTATGACTTCAATTCTGGAAAATGAATACAATGGACACAGTAAAATATTCAAAGTTTTTCAGGAGTTCAGAGGAAGGATTAATGTAGGGTCATAGGTCAGTTTTAGAGTAGTAGAAATGTTATGTGTATTTTAGATATTTGTTATGCATTTATTAAAACCTCTATAATAAATAATACCAAGAGTATAGAAGGAATGTTAGTTAATAATCATTCAATTGCAACAAAGAATAATAGAAGACATTAACAAGAGGAAAAATTGGCAAGGGTGGTAGAGTGGCGTGGGGAGAAAGGAATACAAAAAAATGCTTTTCTTATTTTTCTGTAAAAATAGTCTCCATGTGCCATGACTATCTGAAACGCATTAGCCATTTTGGCCTTAAAATTGTGTTGGTCTGGCATTATGGTTTACTACTGGGTCATGTGTCACATTACTTTTGCCAGCAGGGTGAAAATTAATATCTTCCAAGCACATGTTACATTAATATGTTTAGAAAAGTAAGTACACTGTCATCCCAACATTCCCATCTGATTCATTCTCATCTGATTCATATCCAGGCCTGATTCATCATCTTCCATTAACCATACAGAAAATCACGATCCAATTTCTCTCACTTACAAGTGATGGTGAGTGGAAGATAGATGAACAATACTCATTAAGGTAGCATTCAAGAAAGAATTCTAATGGACAGGAAACAAAACAACAGAAGAAGTCTTATATGAACATATCTATGGTCATAGCAAAACAATTCTAAATTGAAATAATCAGCGATTATGGCAGCAATTGTGTGTACATATCTTCTGAGGCTCAGGGAGAGATTGGATATGTTGATATTTGGTTAAAATAAGAAACTGAAGGTATAGCAAACAAATCATTTTACATAGTACAGATGATTCTCTTCCTATGTTATGTATACTCTATGAAATCAACCATACCTGTATATGCCCACTCAAACTTGCACATACATGGTGTGCAAGAAAACATCAAAGGTAATTTTATGGAGAACACAATTTATTTCGTTGACAATAGAAACAATACAAATATAGAGAACTACTTTTTAATCTCTTTTTAAAAATAAAATCTGATACTCTAGGTTTCAGCCTCCTGAGTTGCTGTGATTACAGCCATGAGGCACTGGTACCCAGGAGTTCTTCCTATTGGGTTAATATACAATTGGCTTACAGAGACTTGTATAACCTCAGTTCATTGGGTTAAGTCCATTGGAAATCAGCTGTCATATTCACCCATGACTTTATTTTCTTTGCTAACTTCACAATTTGAACTCAGGATATCTCCATATCTCCAATCCCTTTTGCACTGCTTAGTTTTGAGTGTGGGTCTTATCTTTTGTCTGGGACCCCCCTGGACTACCATCTTCCTATCTGTGCTTCCCATGTAGCTGTCTGACAACTGTGTGCCACTACCCCAGCCTATTTTTGCTGAGAAGTTAAGAACTTTTTGCCCATGTTGGCCTAGTGCCATGATTCACTTCTGATTTCTGCCACCAACAGAAAAAACTGCTTGTTTATGCACCCACAAATTGCTATGCAATGTCCCCCAAATGTCCACCAGTAAGAAAGCAACTTTGGCTGTATTAGAGATAATAAAAATAGATTCTTACATATTAAAGAATTTTGCAGGGCATTGCAATAGGCTTGGCTCCCTGAAGTGATTAAGCCAATAATCTTAAGTCTGGCCACTCACCAACCTCTGTGTATATTTGTGATGACCTTAAAATTATAACATATACTATATTTTGGAACTTAAAAAGAATTTATATACGTGTAAGGAGAGTAATTCCAATTATTTTCACTTGTCCCATGCCTGTTTTTGAAGGAAACAGGAAATCCTGTTTCTACTACTTGTTGTTCTCCTCCTCTGAAAGCAAATTGCACAGCAGGTACAGAGTTTTGAACCTTCCATGTGCTGGGATCGGGTATTTGGTTACACTAGAGAAGTTTGTTCCCATTAATTGCTACTTAATTCTGTTTTATTTGTGATGCCATGTAAATATTGTATGTCCTATAAATTTGTCTTAATTAGATTATTTAAAAATCTTAAGTAAAGTTTATGTTGAATATTATATATTTTATGCAGGAATTAATTCTAGGAGAAAATATTCAGAAAGCTGTATCTGTTTACTTATTTCTGAAAGTTTATGTTTTATTGATCTGAAATGTTTCTGTTCTAGGCGAGAAGGGTACTAGAAAGCTACTTCAAGTAGAACTCATGTTTTAAAAACATGGAGAATACTTCAATAAAGCAGTACTATTGCTGTGGTTTACGGAGTATATGACAGGAAGAAAGAGCCCCCTAATGGTTCTGTGTCTGTAAAACCAGAAGAGGCTGCTGTTTTTGACTTCTTGCTTCAGGTTGGTGGAAATGAATAATCAGGATGAACATCTAACACTATGCCAGTAAATGGGAAATTGAATGAAAGACCAACTAGAGATATCTAGTATGCACAAAAGGTGAGAATGGCTGAGGTAACTTAGTTATATAAACAGGAAGGCTTCGAACACTGAATGACCTTCTGTGTTTCACTTCCTCAGTCCTGCTTGCTGAGGAGCAGTGACATGAGAAGTAGGAGACAAATTAATTAACTAGCTAGAAAGTGGGAAATTTTATTTAGAAAGGAAATTTCTCTGTCTCCAATCATGGAACATTTCCTATTAGGTCGACAGTGAATCAAAGTCCTTGTAAGAGAAATTATATAATGTGTAAGAAATCAATAGAAAAGAAATAACGGTGAGAGGAAGTGAAGGAGACTGTACAGATAAGGAGCTTATACATACGTAATTTGGAACTCATTTAAAAAGAACATGGTAATTTTTTAATAGAAAAATTGAAGCTTTGACATTTAGATACTCTCAGTGTCTATATAAACTCATGACAAATTCTCCTGAGGCACTGAAAACACACTGAGTACCAGTGTGCTATATGGATAACTCCATACAACCAGCACAAGTAAGTACTCTAAGAGAACTTTGACATGGAAGCAGGTAGACACTTGCATCATTGTGACATAAGTGATAAATAGTTTTGTGCATTAAATTAAAAATGAAGAGACATTTAAAATTAAGTTCTGTCTTTTAATGGAATAAGGTAGATTATAAAATAAAATGATAAGCTAAAGATCCATTTAACCAGGTTACACATAGTGTAATAAATACAGTTTATCTAATGAATTAATAATCATAGGTATAATAGAGTTGAAGCAAATGTGTGGATACCACATTGCTACCACATATACAAAATAATCTTCTATTGTGCCTTCTTGGAGAGTTTTGCATTTGTTTATGGAACAGAATGTTCAAAAACATATATAGAAACTTTGTTCCAGTGACTTAAAGAGAAAGTGTATAAATTCCTTTGTGAGCATATATACACATATGTGCATACATATTAGACACTGTAATTTTCAATTTTTGTAATACATTCATTGTATTGTATCATTTGCAACCATAGTAACATCTAAGTAATCATAATATTTACATTTTTAAAGAAATATTGAAATATTTGACCGTGGACAAAATTCAGGGCATAAAGAATTGCAATTTGCACATATGTATTGTATTTTCAATTAAAGCAAGGATAAGCTAAAGACACACATAAACAACAGAGAATATACAATGCTGTGAACTTCAGACATATTGTCTCTAAGAGGATTGGTTATCATGTTCTTATTTTACAATTTGAAAACCATCTTTCAAAGTTTTGTTAACTTATAGATATAAAGACCAGTGTGTTTTCTGAAATAGAGGAATGACTCAGGGAACTTTACTCACCAAGGCAGCCACAGAAGCAATCTGGTAAACTGTTTCCTCATTGAGGCAAAGTGAATAAACACACAAAGCAATGTCTGATATTGTTTTAATTCCAGTGAGCATGGACACAATCCCTTTGTCACAATGTCCTTCCCTTTGCAGTTGATTATTTGTGACCCATAAAACTAAAGTGATCAACTCCATGCATTCTGTATTACCTCAGCCCAGGGTTCTATCCCATCCCAATCGTTTCCTCATAAATGAATTATTTTAAGCCCGTTTCCACAAAAGTGTTAATGTGGGGAAGATCCGGTACATGGAGCCTGCAACTTCGCGTACTGTCACTGGCACTTTAACATTAATTGATACCTCTGCAGCTCAGCAATCAACTCCTGACTAGCTAGGCATCTCCAGAGTCATATTTCCCTGCCTTAGCTCTGTACATTCTGATGAACAAATGCCAGCCAGCCACTGCCATAACAAGAGGGCAGTTTAAAATCACATCACTTAGGTCACATCAACCTTAATGCTGGAAAGTCAAGACTGCAGTCAGAAGAGATTTTTTTTTGGTGGGAGGGGGGGAAATTCAGCCACTGAAAAAGCAGATAAGAGCTTCTATGTTCACATGAAATATAGCAGTTGACAAGGATGGAGAAACAGCTCTTTCTTAATAGGCTATTATTTCCCAAAGTTGTTTAACAGCTAAAATATTATTTTTGAACACGCTTAATATTGTCACCAAAATGCTCATACTGTTTTTAATACAGATTTTGCCTCTTTCCATTCTTTTTCATTTGGAGTATTTAAAAGAAAATATGTATGTACCTTAAGGTATGCAAAAGCAAGTATATTCACACACATAGGAACTCCTGCATTTCTACATTCTCATGCTTGTATGCAGTATTGAATTTAATATATCACAGCAAACTCAGTTTAATAAAAGCATGCAAAGGTACAATGTATTCTACTCTGAATAACTAATAAGAAAGCCAGAGATAAAGAAAAATGCAGTTGCCATACCTGGAGCTGGAAACTGTTTCTGTGTAAAGCTGAATGAGCAGGGGCTGGAAGAACACTTGCTTTTTTTGGGTTTTGTTTTCTTTTCAAAATCCACTTTAATAATGGAAGAGTGAGTTGAGCTATTCCAAGGTGAAGTCTGTTATTTCTTGCTGTGTCTCAGAGCTGACATCCTTTTGTAAAGGAAAAGGCAGCTCAGTAAGTTGTTGACTGAGAGAGCTAGGAAGCAAGATTAACCGGCACCAGCAGTCAAACAGTGATGCTATAGAATGTGCACTGCCTCCCTCCCTCCCTCCCTCCTTCTCTCTCTCTCTCTCTCTCCTTTCTCCTCCTTCCCTCTCTCTGTCTCTGTCTCTCTCTCTTCTTTTTTTCCACCCTAATGCTCACTCAGCTCTGAGTCTCAGCTCCTGCTGCTGCTGATAATCAATCTAGCCTGTCTGAAGCTAATAGTCTTCTATTTAACCAGCCAATCAATAGCAAGAATTCTACTGTTAGTCCCAAGGGTCTTTTCTAAGAGTGGTACAAACAATAAGACTTTTGCCAGCAGTTGAGCCAAGTATTTTTCATTATTTTATCTCTCTTAGCGATAAGCTTAGAGTGAGCACAGGCTAAAAGTAAGCTTAGTGTAGCTGTGGGGTACTGTCTTTTAAAAATCCACCCTTTATTTTCCAATTTGTATTGTTTCAGTTTTACATTTTCATATATTTTCTCTGATTATTTAAAAATGCTGCAGAATTATGATATGTGATGAAAGCTTTCTTCACTCCAACATATGCAAAAAAATACCAGCCAAACAGGCTTTTGCCAGAAACAGCAATGTGTAGCTCTGTCCAATTAAAGAACACCCGATATTGTTGAGTGATATTAAGTTAATCATCTGTTTCAGAAACACTGTCATCAATATTGCTCTTTCTTGTGAGAAATGAGTAATGATGTTTGTGAAAAGATTTTTTTGAACCAGTGTCTGAATCAGACTTCAGGGTACAAAACATCTTTCAATTTTTAAAACCTAAGTCTATAAAAAGGATTTCTGAATGTATCAAGTGGAGCATTTCACACCTGAGTCAACTCTTCAAGGTTAAGAAGATTTTCTTCTTAAAGTGACAGTTTCATTGCTCGACGACTGTGACTGATTTTAATCAAGAAAGTACAAGGAAAACCATTGAAGACCAGACTGGCTTTTATTTACTAGTCTGGAGAGGGAGAAAAGAAGAATAAAAAGAAGGAGGAAGATGAGGAATGGGGGGGCAAACCTTGGATGAGTAGATTCTCTCCGACACTAATTAGAGTTGCTTGCTCTCTTCACTTCACAGCCTTTTTGTGACTTTCCTTGTGTGCTAATGCATTATTGCACCTTTCAAAGAAAATATAAATGAATGCCTAAGCACACTTGTATAACCTATAGGCCTTGAATTTCATGCACTACTTCCATCTTTCAACATTGCGGGATACAATTTGAAACACATGCTATTGCATCTTCTAAGTAAAATTTCAAAATGGCATGAAATATACACTCTTGTAGAGTTAAGCTCAATTGCGAGTCAGATTAGGAAGTATTAGAACAACTCGAGAGAATTTTCTGGATTTAACAGATTTAATTCAGTGAATATTTTCTTTTCTTCTCTTTGATTTTATTTATTTAATTTTTTGAGCAATGTCTTGTATCAGACCTGTTACTCTCAGCACTAAATAGGCAATTCAATAAGAGAGAAACAGGCTTCTTGGTATTAATTTTCCCTGCTATGGGTAGTCATTCAGGAGCTTTTGGCTTGGTAAATAGATAATGAATTCTCAAGTAAGAGAAATATAGGAAAGAATGGTTAGTTGCCTTTTTTAGAAGTAGTCCAAAAAACAATGTATATGTTATATGTTATATATGAGTATATATATATATATATATATATATACATATATATATATATATATATATCTTATAATGTCTTTTGGGGAAACAAAAAGAAGTTGTGGAAGCATAGCAACTATCCTTATCAAGAATACAAAGTAGTTCCTAGGTAATTGATTAAAAAAAAGAAGAAGGTATAGAAAGGGCAACAGAAGCAAACATGCAAGTTGCAACAAAGGCGACTATTACAGAAGAGCAAAGAGGACTGGGTTTGCAGAGCAGATTAGACAGAGGAAGCCAGGCCAACAGAGAAGGAAGGGATCCACAGGAGGGAGAGCCTTCAGTGTTAGGATGAGAAGAATTGAGTCACCCAGTATATTTTCACAGTATATTAGCAGAAAAATTGTAAAATTGAAATGTCCTTTGAGAATATCAACTTGCACAAGGGTGTGAGTAGCAGAACGTAGCCAGTAAATGATGAGTTCTGGTTAATGATCTTTACAGATCCTTTGATCCCACCAATTCTTATCCTGGAGGAAGACACAGCCAGATCATCCATGTATGTATTTATGTAACACAGTGGTTAGTTTCTAAAACCCCTTACTGGTCTCTCTAATTTGAGATAGTAGACTTTTTTTTTCAGCTCTGACTCTGTTGCTTGCTAGGAAAAATTGAGCTTCTTGATTGAAGCACTGCTCATTAACTTCCTGAGCAAGACTTGTAGTCCAGCCATCATCCATCAAGAAGATGGAGTCACAACAATGTCTCCCTTCCTATGGCTGTGATGTCAGATGAGGAATAACACAAATTCTAGACACAGGCCTTTGTTCTTTGCTGAGACTAAGCTTCAAGTCTGGAGATACACCGTATGAAGAGTTTTGTTGTTTGTCTCTTTATTAGAGTTAACTTGATTCTTTAGTTGCTATTTTAAGTAGACTTTATATCAATTGGAAAACAAATATACTGTGAATAAGTTTATTTATAAAAGCTGCCAGATACAAACAACACAAATATTTTGTTACTTTATATATATATATATTTAAAAATCTCAAAAGAAACTAATAATGTCAGTTATAATATCCAAAACAATAGAAATTAATTTAACAAAAGTGAACTTCTTATAAAATAAAGTCACAACTATTGTTGAGAGAAATTTAAAAATAATATGTAAATAAAATTATCTGATGAAAATATATTCAAAGATTACTTTTAATGTTAATCACAATGTTTAACTGATATAATTCAATCTTTTCAAAATCTCACTGGCTTCTTTTTTCAGAAATAGAAAAATCTATCATCTAATTCATTGAGTCTAAATGAATTTTCAGTTGTAAGGTAGTTCCTGAAAGAGAATAAACTTGGATAACTCAGCCTTCTTGAGTTTTAAATATTATTTCAAGATTACATTCATCAAAATGATGTGTTAGTGCCATAAATTGAGTCAAATAAAGTAATGAACTAGAATAGAGCCCTGAATAAATGATTGGTAATGGGAGCAGGAGGCTCTTGACAAGAAAGTGTGTCAACAACACTTACCAAAAAAATGGACTTAAAAAAATGTATATGGTCATATGTACCTAGCTATTGAGCTATTCTGCTCATATGCTAAGATTATCCTAGATATATACTATTTATTATAAATAAGGAAAACCATGGGTGCTATATTTCTTTGGGTCTGGCTTACTTCACTTAACATGATTTTTTTTCAAGTCATTCCATTTCCTTACAAATGAGGCAGTGTCATTCTTTCTCATGAAAGCATAGCAGGTTGACAAGAAATGTACTTATTACCTTACTTATGTAACTGTAACTCATATGTTTATCACCTTGACAATAAAAACATAACTTGTGAGCTTAGCAAAAACTTGATATCAGTTTGCAAAATATGAGTTACCCACTTACCAGATATTAGTATCATATGTAAAACACTAACTCAAGTTATGTCCTGGGAATCCAGGCAGTTTATAACTTACTGAAATACATAAAATTGCACAAATTTAAAGCAAAGAAACAGCCTTCACGACAAGGTCTATAACATTATGTGTGTGTGTGTGTGTGTGTGTGTATGTGTGTATGTGTGTGTGTGTGTATGTGTGTGTGTGTGTGTGTGTGTGTGTGTATGTGTGTGTGTGTGTGTGTGTGTGTGCATGTGAGAGAGAGAGAGAAAGAGAGGAGACAGAATTTTTTATGGTTGGTAGTTGGAGCCCTAACTTTTCAGGAATTGGCCGTAAATATTATATTTTATAGGTAGGAAATGATCAATTGCTAAACAGGAATCGAGAAAGCAGGTGGGAAAAACAATGCTTCATTTCTCAAAGCCTCAATGAATACAGACAAGACTAAAGCTTAAGATTAATTTTCAAAAAATTTTGCCTTCTTTGGAAGGCAAAAGTAATGTCAGAAGGTTTTATGCAAAGTATCATTCCAGTGAATTAATTCATCCTTTTCTAGGAATATTACTAAATACTTTAATATTATAATTAGCCTAGTCACATTTTAAGATCTAAATTTATAATCAATTTTTCTTGCTCTATTCAATTCATCCAATTTAATGGATAATGCCTACAGGTTTACTTAAACACAGCTTTTATAATTTCACCACCATGTGCAATTAATCTACTTTGGTAATATACAGACCTCTAAGTGGAACTACAGACCTAACAGGATAATGATGATGAGGAGAAGGAGGAAGTGGGGAGGAGGAGGAGGAGGAGGAGAAGGAGAAGGAGGAGGAGGAGGAGGGGGAGGAAGAAGAGGAGGAGGAGGATAGTAGTCTTGGGCATGGGACATGAGTGTAAAAAGGGGAGGGAGAGAAAAGAGGAAAGTCAAAAGAAAAATTATATTAGGTAAATATGCATGATGGTCTCAAGTTCCAGACATTTTCCTGCAAATATCATCAATTCAATCTTTTTTAATGTACTACCTGGTACAATTAATGTATGTGGGTATTAGCAAAAATAAAGATACACACATGCACATAAAACATATTTTTATTCATTCAGTACATTCATATGATTCCATAGTTTAGCTATTGTGAGTAGAGCTGCAAGAAACAGGTATTTCTCTGAAATATTGAATTATACGTTTTCAGATATATGCCCAAGAGTGGCAAAGTAGTATCTTATTCATTAGTTTTCTAAACAATAATAAATTACAGTAATATTATGGTAATACCTTATTCAAATGTTTATAAAGAACTACTTATAGAAATGATAAGGCTTTAGAAATAATGATAATGATATGTATAATGGCAACAAGATACAATTAAGCGTTTTCAAAGTTAGTCAGTGTGAGAATGAAGATGGAGATAAATCTTCCCCCTTTGGTATATAACCATTGTCAGTGTACTTTATTTTGGAACCTTGCATCATGTACATTTAT